TTCTTATGGAATGTTTATAACGCATCATATTCCTGCCTGAAGTTTCACAAGCAGTCTTAACTTTAAAATTATTTTCTGGTCATGTTCATTATTTTTAAATCGACATATACGTCAACAACCTGCATGTTAACCTGGCCCATACATACGTTACACTATATCTCCATGTCTTCTAAATTTAGAAATCATCTGATCGCCTTTAACATTTATCAATAAACCCATCATAGTCGTTGTTGCTAATCGTATTTGGGTTTATGGATTAGTTTATCATATTAGCAGCCTAAAATGCGAACATAGTTTGAATAATAAGATTAAAAATTTAGGTACTATCAACTGCACTAGTAAAATAACTAAATCCTAAGGTAGCTGTTGGCTAAACAAACGTTTAAAATCAAAACTCCGTAGCCTACTAGAATTAACACTAAACGAATATTTCTGAATTGAAATTTATAATTAAATTAGGCGTCTCGGATTCTTTAACGTTATAAATTTCTGATGATTTCGAATCACCTAAAGCAACAATACCTATTTTTCCACTGACTAATCCTCAATCAACACTATAACTAGTTAAATTTAATAGTTTCAGGATATCGTCATAAAGCATTGTCATAACTTGACAATCACGTAATATGACTGATAAAATTAATGAAACTATTAACAAAATCGGTCAACAAATTGACTTATAATTACCATTAAATGGTGTTGTTTTCTTGGTATCTTCATCCATCACAGATGATTACAGTATGTTTCTCTATCAGTTGCTCATTCAGTAAATATCTCAAAACCTTGTCAGTCTAATTGATGGTTTAGCGACACAATCATGCATGCAAATAATCAGTATAAGCAGTCGAGCAAATCTCCTGCAAACTGAAAACATCAATGTCGAATTTACCCCAACACTGACTAAGGTTCAAGCCATTATCATAGACATGAGTTGGGAGTGTACTCCCCTGGTTACAACTTATGTTCTCCCTGATAATCACATGAGCATCACTCACTATTAATCATCTTGTAAAAACTTATTTAGCTAAATACATCTTGCAGCACCACATCACCTAGTAATATGACACAGGCCTAACTGATTTTAATAACTTATAACCACTATATCTCAATTAAATCGTATTCCGCCTTATGATAAACTGCATACTTGCAACTAACTTGTATGCCCAATCAGCCGCAAGTATAAATATAAATAAATAGTCTGCCGCAGATCAGAACATTGAGTCTAGAGCATGTCTCTTACGAATACACTCATGTTTAACGATTTGTTCCTAGCTATCTGTCCAAAATTCATATAATTATCACTCATGTATTTAAATTTTATTTTGATAACCATTCATGTGTATTAGTAGTATTACTAAATTCTATCACGGTCAAGTAAAAATGAGGTTGAGAAAATCTCCCCGTAACTAAATAAACCGTATCAAACTAACTGGAACACTAGTTGGAATTCTTCTCCACGGTATACTTTTGTTCCTTCAGTTAGCCTACTAATACAGATGCAATTGGAATTCAACTCATATGGACAACTTACCGGCATAATCGTTATTTGATTTCATAATTTAAACCAAAACTAATACCAATATTAACATTTCTACAATATTCATCACTTTAATATTTCTAAACACAAAATACTTACTACCTATACGTTAAGTTATTAACCAACGGCTATTAACACGCATCGTTTTATTATTATTGTAACCCCATTTTTTATAGCTCAAATAATCTTCACCCAAATTTTTTTTTCAAGCATGTTAAGCATGAAGGCAGATATTTTAAAATTATTACATGTATTTCCCGACCAGATGCTGCCGCTTCTTTTTGATTTATCTTTCAGCTTACCAATACCCGGAGGATTCTTATTATCCTTGGTAACCTCCGGCGCGCGACGATCCCATCCAATTTGGTATCGAACCAACATCACGTTGATTCTGGTGGGAGAGTAGTGTAGTGGCATTGGACAATAGCCACACAATCCACAAAGCTGTGAACACGAGACTACTCAGAAAATAGATATTCAATATTTAACGCGGAGAAATACCTAACAATGGAGAAGGCGCGAACAATGAATTGAATGGACTGGAGTTGATCGATGGCATGGCTCGGCCATGCAGGCGTGGTCCATCTGAATGTTACCTTATATCTTCTATTCATATTAAATATATTGTTCCTTCTCTAGCCTAACCTTGTTCTACATCATGTATTGGTAATTGATACGATACAGTGAGTTGGTGTAGTCGATGGTGTGACTTCCACGTAAGATCTTATAGATTAGGCAGTTATATCATGACAAATCTACAAATTTAGGATTAGGTCTATTATTAGAGCAGCACTAATATCATAGTAGACCATAGTTCTACAGATCTCTTAATATTATTACATTCCCACACTGTAAATCAAATCAATCCAAAGTTTTCTGATACAAAGTTTATATACTTGCTTCGTAATAATAATAAATACTACTACTGACTTGAACTCGTAAGCAGCTAAAGAGACCTCGCACCATCAATAAATTCAATGTTATTCTGCTATGATATTTGTTCCTTCTATGTGCAAATTCTGACTTACACTATACTACCGTCATTATAAGTTCTGACTTGACAACTTAGCTGTTTACATTTCATTCACCCATGTCCATAAATATACAGCTCAATTAATCAATATTATTATGGTAACTAAACAAAAGTCTCATAAGAATTCATGTAAGACAAAGAGAGAAAAGGTTTAAATATAACACAGAGATGAAAATTTTATGATTCAATAAAAACCCTAACTGTTCTCTCAAACACCCTAGTTCTCGTTTACTTTTAATTACCCTGATCAGTTTTCAAATATGAATTATGACTGTTCACTAAAACCAAATCAGTTACCGAGTTGAAAGAACATTTTGATGAGCTATCGTTTCAGATTTTCTGCACATCATCCAATGAATATTAGTCCATTAATTACATTAGAACAATAAGCGGTAGTTTCAGTTCATCGTCCTATTTGGTTATCAGGACTCAGTAGCTAAGTTGACAACGCGATGGAGTTTGAGGTGAACGGTACTGGATCCGAGTCCCTCAAAGAACATCAAATATGGGATTCAGTTACATCCAGCTTACAAGTATCAAATAGAACGAAACTCGTATCCTGGATTCCAGTGCCAGGAGATATCCTTCTTTGCTTAAAAAGATTATGATTTCAGACAATATCGGAGGAGTTCCACAATGGGGCGAAGCGGCCGTCCAGTGATTCCAGGGGTACAATGGTGGTCGAACATCAAACGGTTCATGACCTCAACCGATAATTTACTGATCTCCAGAACCTTATGCTGATAATTTATGAGAATTGTTGAATAAACGTATTTAGACAATGATTAAAAATCAGAAATCATCGAATAATCATGATAGATTTGAATGAATTCTGCAAACAGCCTGAAAGTCAATATGCTTATTCGTAAATTAAGTATAGTACTTTCGTAGTTGAACTCATGGGTCAACTTAAACTGGACCACATGGAAAACCTGGAACCGCTGGCTGACCGTTTTGTCCCATTGTGGGACATCTCAGCAGTGCGCATCCACGATCCCGCTTCGCGAGATTCGACTGATAGGTCTGAGTTCAAGACGTTAGTGGTGACTCTCCATCCAGTAGTCCGTATAACAGGCTAACTTTAGTTCAACAGTCATTGGAGAAGAATGAAACAAACAATAGAGAATGAATTTCAACTTCTGAAAATTGTCTAACGATCCATAGGTTATGTGATGATTAAAAGTAGTTGAATTATTATGCGAATTGAGAATCACCGAAATAACGAAATTTAGACCGAACACAACTAGGTAAGCACAGACTTATTTATTGCATTCGGAATTCAAAATCAGGTGGTCATTAAGTACAATGGAATCATTTATTCCTACAAACAGCACAGGCCTTTAAATCATTTGCAGTTAGGAATACGATCTGTAGAATTAGGAATTCTGTCCGGTTCACTTAACAAGCATACTTCTGTTGACCTCAGATGTTCACAGACATCACTGATTATACTTTGTTGTCATCTATCATCACACTTTATCTCATTATTCTAATGATATGTTATTCTCTTTTCTCTATTTTGTACAGTGGGCGTAATATGAATCTTAGTTAAAATAAAAAAATATCTTTTTCCGATAATCTGTGTACATGACTGACAGTAAACTACACACACATTCACACAGAACGGAGATGAGTGAAATTCTTTGGCTGTCTTTTGGCTGCTAATCCATAGACAGTTTTACTCTAGGTATGAATAAACACAGTGACCATTTAGCATTTAGTTTAAAGTGAGCCCAGTGGTCGTTTATTCATAGAATCATCTAGGTTTCACGACCTCAGTTTATCAATCTATGGATGGTCTATTGACCACTCCGATTCCCTGAGATACTTCTAGTTATTACGTGCTGTGCATATTGGTATATGGGACTGTGGTGAATCATCTTGATAATGCAATCCACATCGCGTTCTGTGTATCGTTTTATACAAATCACTGAGACGGATAAATGCATCTCTACCCGATGTTCTGGATATACACATTTTCCTGTTGACCTCATGTATGTTTTCATTGAATATTAAATAATACTAGCACAAAAATTGTCCTTCGCTGCTTTCAGGTTCTCGATGGTAGTCTTGTCATCGAATGACTCTTTCAAAAAGTTTTGCTTTTACGAATCAGTTTTATTGCCTTATGCAGGTTTAAATATAATTTTACCATTTACAAACCTCCGATTCTCAGCAACTGAAAATCATATAATTACATAGGTGATAATTTCAATAACACGCTCATGTGTATCCCACCTTTCACGTTTCTTCAGTCAAAGGTGTGTCATACAAATTGAAGGCCATGCCTAATGAGCAGATGAGTAGATGAGATTCTCATCTGACATGGTTTCTGACAACCTTGAATGTAATAATGGCAGATGGGACAACGCTGGAATGTTAGGCAGTGTCACCACGAAAATTCATAAGCACACTAACCATTACATTCAATTAGGCAGACGAATATGGACCAGAAGTGTGTGAACGGTTTCTTGTACCATACCTATTGCGAATAGAACGTGGTCTATAATGACACAGTTTGTTATTTTATAACGCATTTTCGTGAACTACAGATTATTTACTTTACGAGTTGTATTTTTTAAATGACTTCATTTTTATGACCAGAATAAATCATATTTACGATTTTTGTTCTGTCACACCTCAGATAGATTTACATACACTAGATTAGTTGTATTGTATGTGTCTGAAGATGTGAGGTGAAATTACTTCAGTGAATACATCGATGTTTGATCCCATGAGTCGATCTAAGCTAGGCAACCATTGAAAACTTGGAAGCACTAGACGACCGTTTAGTCCTAGTATGAGACTCATGAATTCAACTGTTAAGATCACTGAACTAAGTGTAGGAAGCAATTTCCTACAGATTCAACTCTAAGCTAATCTCTAGACTGTCGAGTACAGAGTCTTGGTTTAGCCAAAGTCAGAACAAGTAAGCTATTTGGCTTGATAAACTTTATCTGTTTCTAAAACATAAATTAACATCGTTAGTGTGCAAACAAACAGTACAGTCTATTAATATAGGAAAAAAGAGACAAATAACATACCGAACGGTAGCCAGAGAATAGATAGAATGAGTCAACAAGCAATATTGTTTTACAATGAACATTAAACTGTGATTGGCTAATAAAAAGATACAGTCGTACAAGGTCAAAAGGAGTTAATGTGGTGGTGGGCGTTTCCCTTTATTATTGGTGGGTTCGTTTATCGATCACATCTTACACTAAGCAAATCCTCACTCTGATATATTAATGCTCTGTTAAATTTTATTAGGGAAAGGAAAGCTGCAGATATATCTCATCATCCAATACCATTAATAACCTGAATGCTGATAGACGGCTTTTGAATCAACAACTTGATTGACACATCTTTTTCATCAACATAAAATCTCATGGAGGTATTGTTTCACTCATAACAATAAAAAAAGTTGCGCAAAAGTATTGTCCTTAGAAATCAACGTTTTATAAAATGAACAGTTAAAAGCCAAACTGGTTACTTCAAAAATGTTTCTTTAAACTTTATGGATAAGAGTCATGATACTTTACAAAACTAGTCATTTCGCACTATTAGTGATAGTGTGAGTGTTTAATATGGTGGCAGATTTAAGCCCATAGCCCTACGACACAGCCAATGCACACAACAATGGAAGTGAAAATCACTGGTATTACAATATACGAGCAACTGCGGGACTTTCTACGTTGTTTATCTTCAGTGACTTGTGTATTCATATTCTGATAAAAGTGAAATAGTACAATAATTACAAAATACCAAATATTTACCAAATGAGTTTCAGTGTTTTGAGTAGTTGACTCCAATTCGCTTCTTATGTCAGCTTCGGTAGTCCGTGAAGTTGTTTTTTCTTGTTTGATGAGTGGTGGTTCAGTTGACACGTTAATGTTCGAGCTATTCTGTAGAATGGAACAGTGGCAATATTACTAACTACCACATAAAAATCAAATAATTCATCGTTCAATATACCTTATTGTCAGTTGTGATAACAGAACAGAATTTAACAAACAGTTGAATAATTTACATTGGCACAACGTGATCAGTAAACAATAATTTACAATATCTGCTACCGATTCGTCACTACACATTCTATGAGCTGAAAAATTAACATGTTTCCAGGCCTCAGTGTTAAACAACGCTTCTATCTATCTTTGAATGTTCACATGTAAACGAAGCGTTGTACTCATACCTGACTAAATTTTGCCAACATATACAACGCTTTGATTTATGCACTGTGTGGAGTATACAAAACTTGAGTGGCCTATGCTCCTTCACGAGGAGTAACAAGCGTAAGTAAGTAAGCAGTATACAAAGCATCACTTATTCGTTGCAATAAAACATTCCTCCGAGTAAACAGATTCGCGATGTAGCATATGGTAATATTGAAAACAACCAGTGAAGTCCACCAATTACTTACTTTATTCAAGCAACCATTTACTTTGAAATCATGGCTATCCATATCATTGTTTGTAATGCATTTGTTTGCTCTTTCACACCAAATACACGTTGTATTTGGTGTTTTTGCTTCTTTACATGCTTCAGTTGAATTGTGGTTTGGACAATCTACAGTGAGAAGAATATGGTAACTGCATGTCAAATGATCAAACAAACAATAAGCGATTTACAAAACATGTGACTATAACTCAATGATATTATGGTGATTTCGGAGTTGAGTGACTGTTTCCCTTCACTAAGCATTGATCATCACATTGCGCAATGAGAAATCCAATACATTTTCAATGTGATTCACATTTCACTGTACAAATTCAGCAGAAAGGAAACACTTTCAAACCATGAAAATCGTCAGTATTTGTGACACTGTACAAGTATCTACTGCTTATGATAAAGTGAAATATGAACAATTAGCTTGCCAATACTTTCGATTTATCGGATGAGTAGGATAATGTAGAGGTATTGGAAATTGAGCTTCTGTCCTCAAATTATTGCCATTTCATGGAGTGTATCTACGTTTTAAATACCACACACATATCCAGAATTCCGTATACCTGGTATAAATACAAGTAACACTTTCAAGTCCATGCACAATCAATAAACTGACTTTTATCATCTCATTCATCGATTCGTGACATTTTGTTTAAGTAAGGTTCATCAAATGATGACATCTATAGTAGTTCAGAATCCATCCTTCATCATTTTGAATATTCAACAGCGAATTGATTTGTAGTGTAACGTCAGTTGAGACTCATGTCTAGATGTCATTTTATGACTGGCTGAATTTACATAAGAAATTTCCAATTTAATGAAACACAATTGATGTGTTCAAGTGTGAAACTGATAAAATTCGATAAAATAAGGATTAACATACCCCCGGAAACTTCATACTCCACCAACGTTCTACTTTTGATCCACTCACCAGAAACCGTTCTATAAATCCCTTTCCCATCTTATGCGATAAAATATACAGAAGAAGACACTTGAAATTCCGATTTCCATTTTAAATTTAACAAGTTTTTTGCTCGTTTAAGGAGCGATCAAAATGAAAAAAACTGTTTTATTTCTGATAGCCGATACAATGGTAGTCAAACAACATCCTCGGAAAATATGCTTTACGTCACTTTTCGTTCCGAAGAAGGTCAACGTTCTACCAGTAGGTGTACAAAACCGATAGCAATAAACGTTTGATTTATTTTACAGGGGTGTCAATGAAACGCCTTTAAAAATTACGTTTACCTCGTTATAAATTGCTTTACAAATAGTCAAAGTTGAGAATCCGCAATACGTTTCAACCAGTTATCACGTACCTCTTGACGAAATATTGAACGCATTTTCCCATATTCACTCATAAAACACTGCATCCAAACTAATCGCTTACACTGAAATCTTTTCCTGGAACCCAACTCCATCTTTCAACATCATACAATCGTGTCAGTGTAGCATGACGTTTGAGCGTTGAATAAAACAACAATCGGTTCTGTACGATAAAAAACACTTCGTTTTGCATTTGTAGTGATATAAGTATAAACGGAAAAATTGTCCAGTTGATTAGTTGGTGAGTGAAGAAATGAGTAGATATATCGTCTGTTTAATACCGTCGTTCATATATTCTTGTCTGGATGAGTCGATCGTTAAACATATACCGAATGCATCTCCGAAAATCCATCCACTGTTTTGCGATGAAGATATTCACATATCTTAGTTATATTACTCGGTATACCAGGTTAGGCAAGCGTTAGCAGAAGTGGATCGTGAAATTCATTCAGATCTGCCATATGATACTAACAAGGATGAAGTTTGTTGAACTGATGACACAGATACTTTGATTTCAATCCGGAAAATTTCATCTGTCTACTGTTCCGAAGACTTCATCACAAACACTAGATATTTTCAGGATGAGTTTCGACTGTGACTTTTGATCACATCTGATACCACGGTCTTGCATCAAGATGTCTAAACACCTAATTTTCGCTGAATTTCCAAGTAACAGGAAGGCGAGTTAACGAAATCCATCTTGATTTAATTTCGCATAATTTTCCTTAACACTTCAAGGACATATCGATCAATTTATTTTACGTACGTAACAAGCGATTATTGTAGACTGTAATGAAGGTGTATTACATGACAATGATAGATTATAGCAAATATCCGTGTTGGGAGAATGACGATAGGGTACAAATAGATAGTAACATAAGGCAAACAGATTATAGTTCATGTAGGTCAGTTGGAATTAGAATATAAGTAATATTTGTTACCTGCTTCTCCACACTGAATTTTACCGTAAAACGTCGATGATGAATGTACTTTATTAGTTTGCTTGGGAATCTGAAAAGTAGTAATGTAAGTCTATGTAAAGACCTGTCAACACAGTACTCGAAACAAAACAACTTTTACATTTAAATGTGCAACTTACTTTCTCATAATAGAAAGATATCTTCCCATTCGAACGTATCACAGTGGTTACCTTGGCTGTAACATCTGAAAACAGGGGACGATCGATATTTAAGTTTTGAGTGATTAATGTTGAGCATGTTATGGTTACATGTGACACTGCATGTGATTACTCACAAAGTGATCAGATTTCAGCAGATATTTACTGTTTTATTTTGAATGATTTCTTCATTTGATTACTTAACAAATATAATCTAATGAAACAAAAATAAAACCTTAAAAATAAATGCTGATTGATTAGCTTCCGAGGCTTTAGTACACCGACATTTTCATATTGGAACAATCATTTATCAGGCTTCTAATTCGATTTGTTGGTTCCCCTTAAATATCCATGGAACAATCGATCCTAAGTACAGATGACATGAGCTGTCAAGTGTTTACATATAAATGTCACTTGGTATTTGAATTGTTTATGCAACAAATATATATATATATATATATATATATATATATATATATATATATATATATCGCTGTTCGTTAAGGATGAAAAAATGGATTGCTTTAGACTTATCATCATTCAAACAAGTTCCGTTGAAGTCTGTTGATGAAAATGTATCTCCGCACTCGTTTATCCACAATTGAAATGAGATTATTACTTATTATTATTATAATTAGCTTTATTCAATATTATGTTTTTGGTACAATATAGAATTCTCAGCGTAATGTATTTCAACAAGTTTCCGTTCCTTTCTTCTTGGTCGGTCCTGGCCATAAATATTGGGTGATCTCCAGTTAGATGTTAGCAGTCCAGTAAATGAACATCTGAATAATGTACATTCTTTTCGTTGTATATTGCCAGCAACCACATTCTCTCTTATTGAGCTTTTTGTAACTTTGACAACGAAATGTTGTACACTTTTCAGAAATGCAGCAGAATAGGTTATGTGATTAGTAGACATAATGATATATTAAAACAAACAAAAATAGATAACTTGTTGAAATATCTAGATGGCGGGAACAGGTAGCCCAGATGCTCAAGCACGCCGCCATATATTTATTTATTAATTTAATCATACTGATCTATTTGTTACTCATCAAATCTAGTATGTTTCTGGTTGTGTCAACTATCTTTTAGGTCTCAATCGATGTGTTCAAACATACGATGGATTTGCTTATATAGTTTTAACCTAATTTTCCAGAGTGGCTACGCTTTATTACTTCTGTCAGCTTTTGTAATGAATCCAACTAAAGTGTAAGTGAATACAATGAATGATGTAAGTGCAAATATTTCACATATGATCAAACAGTCATTTTATGGATACATACGTTTACCGTGAACCATGAGATTATAAAAACTTCTGACAGCAAAATATTCCTCTGAAATAATGAAAGCAAAGAAATTCGTGTTTGTATATCAGCGTTAGGAATGCACATTTCTTCCAATAAACAGATAGTTCAACACAGAATGACTTTGATTTCAATTAAATGAGAATTTGAAGGATCGTTATTATTATTTCAACGATGTTATGAATGTTTCAATCCAACCAACTGTGAAGAATATTTTACCTCCGAAACGTTGATTATAGAAGCTTTCGGTTAACTAAGAAACCGTTAATATCTACCAGACTATACACATACAAAAGCATTTTCTGAAAGTGTGTCATTCCAATGGAACAGTGTTTTCTCAACTCGAAACTAATCATTACGCAGAAATGCTACTCAAATGTCGGTAATTTCGATAACTGAACAATAAACTATCTCTATAATTGCTGCTCAGGCTTTTGAATAACCTCGAGCAAACCCATAATTCTATCAGGGGATTTAGCCTGGGTTAAATACTCATTTACCGGAATATTATTTATTGGAGTTGGATGTAGAGAGAACTAGCCTCTACAAGATATCAGTTTTATGGTAGTTTGAACAGACTGAAGAGTGGAAGATTTCCACTTCAGCTATTACATCATTCGACATATTATTTCTACTCAATCAATCTCTGTTCATTTTGAAATGGGTCGCTGTTTTATTTAAGATTATCACTTGACAGTGATGAAAACCTGTTGTGAACAGATTTTAGGGTATCAAATCGTAAAAACAAAATAATCACTGTGCACTTGTCAGTTCTCATGAAATACTCAAGTTAAATACTGAATTATCTATGCAAAATAAACGTGAGAAATAAAGCACAAAACAAAATATCACTGAATAATTGAAGAACTCACGGTCAACCAAAAACTGAGATTCAGTTGGGTTTTCATGATATACAACACTGTTAATAGTACCTATATTCGTTTGTCCGAATAAAACAATTGTACCTGTGTTTATTTGATGAAAACATGAAATTGGATTGTTAATCTACAGTGAATGAATGAAATACCATGAAATTAACTGAACATTAAAATGAATTTCATGAACCGCAATTAGTTTACTGCAAGGCGTAAAACTGTTCAGAACTCGAACATGGAAAGACATCAGTGGAAGTTTTAAATTTTCGAAAAGCATAAAACGGATTTACTAAAGAAAATAAAACAACTTTGATTCACAAAATGACGTGTGAATAAACAAAACTCAGTAACAATTTTATTTCATAGAAGATGATTCTCTTACCATGAG